TCTCTCTCTCAAATAAAAAAATAAATAAAACAAAGAACTTTAAATAAATAAATAAATAAATAAATAAATAAATAAATAAATAAAAATACAGTTTGTTTGAATCAAAATCCAATGAGACCCACACACTGCAATGGCTGATTTGTCTATAAATCTGTTAATCTACTGGTAATTCCTCCAGTTCCCCTCCCCACCTTTTTTAATCTTTATAATTTGTTTAAAAAGTTGGGTCATTTGTCCTGCAAAGCTTGCCACTCTATACGATTTTGTTGACTGCATCTCCTAGGTTCATTTCACGTGTCCCTTTCTTTGTCTTGTACATTTCCTAAATATTGACAGCAGGATCCAGGGGTTCTTAACTTTTTTGTGTCATAGACTTCTTTGGCAGTCTGATGAAATCTGCAGACTCCCTTCTCAGAATGATCTTTTAAATACATAAAAAATATAGAATGGCAAAGGAAATGTCATTGAAAACAAATGACACTGGAAAATACAGTGGTTTGATTGAATTCCTATTTCTTTTGGCAAGACTACTTGAAAGGTAGCAAGACTCTTAAATTTTTAGTATGTATGCCCATAAGTTTTCCAACAGGATTTTGTTACTTTCACCTTCTCATAAACAGGACAGAAGAGTCTAACAAGCCTTAACTAATCACTGAACATACCTCAACACAACTACATATTAATTTAATCTAGTTTTACCTTTCAAAGCACAAAAAAATAATTAAATAAGGTTAGCAACTTCTTCATTAGTATTTTTACTCATCAATGTATATCCTACGCGTGTCTACTGGGTGTACTTTTCTTTGTGCTGAAGTACATCTTTAATTTTCTTTAAAGTGAGAGTCTGGTAAATAAACTCTGTATGTCAGAAAACATCTTTGCTTTACCCTCACTCTTGAATGATGGTTTAAAAGAACATAAAATTCTAGTTTGACTGGTTTTCCCCTTAGCACTTTGAGGTTATTCCTCCACTGTCTTCTGGCACCTTATGAAGTTCATTTAGTTGTCACTACTTTGTAGAAAAATGATATTGTTTAGTGTGATGGCATTAAGTCTACATTTCAGTGAATAACAAATTTTTATCTCCAGCCTGTACCTTAATCAAAAACTGATGGAGTCAACATTTTTCATTTTCGTTTTCATTGACATGATGAATGGCATTTTCCCCCTTCACATACTCTAAGTCTCCTTCTCTTTATATCATACTGCCTCTTAAAAAAAAGAATGGAAATAAACATATACAATGTGTATATGCATTTGAAAATAAAAACTATTTTCTGCACCGATGCACTTTTTGAACACTGTGTTTTAAAAAAAAAACATATAACGCTTCCAAGCACGAAGCTGTATAAATATACCTACTGTCTTATTCCCAGTTTTTCAAATAATTAATATTGTGTGTAATTAAGCAAAATCAGTTTATGGAAATCAAATGATAGAAACAAAAAGGTCAGATTTTATTATCACCAATAGGTTTCAAGTTTTCAAGGTGCAAAGTGATTAACGCTTTCATCTCATCGTAAGAACACATAATAACAAGACCTTAGAAATTACTTGGAAATTAATAAAAATTACATTTTTATAGAGTATTGAAACCATTCTTCCTTTTTGTATTTTACCCAAACTCTCCTTCTAAACATATGTATAGAGACTGTTCCTTTTCATACTTGATGGAAAAACTTATACATAGAAACCCTGAACAAGGATAGGAGTCAAGAATCAAGCAAAACCCAAGTTAGTCTGTTTCTCTTACTATTGCTCAAATGTCCTCTAATTAGAGGTTATTTTTAAAATCAGGATTTAAAGGTAATATATTCAGGGTGCCAAGGTGGCTCAGGCAGTTAAGCATCGGACTGGACTTCGGCTCAGGTCATGATCTCATGGTTTGTGGGTTTGAGCCCCACATCAGGCTAGGTGCTGACAGCTCAGAGCCTGGAGACTGCTTCGAATTCTGTCTCTTTCTCTGCCCCTCCCCAGCTCATGGTCTGTCTCTGTCTCTCAAAAATAAATAAAATGTTTTTTAAAAAGTTAAAAATGAAAGTAATATATTCCTATAAAACTGAGAAGAATTGATCTTAAGAAATAATTCGCTCTCATTTTTCTTTGAATACAATAGCTCCCCATGAAATACAACAAGTTTCAGCTGCATATCACATGCCCATTGCCTCACCTCCAATTCTTTGAGGTAGTTAACGGTTGTTTCTTGTCTCATTAATATGACTAAGTCATGGGGATGCTTCAAGTTCATCGGCGAATCCACCTGCAAGCAAGTAAGTGATAAATAAAGCTCAGATTTCATTAACATTTGTTTGGATTCATATAAAGTTCCCTTTAATATGCTTTAAATTACTGTTCAACTACCACTATAATCAGTGTTAGGTGCTTACTAAAACCCAAGGACTATTTCAAAAGTGATCGCACATAAATTTCAGCAAAGAGAATATCATGTTCAATAGCTGTCCCTTGAATTCCAACTTGAAAGACTAAGCTTTTGAAGTGAGTATTCTAACTTGGTCACTCATAGAAGAAATATGCGAGCAGAGAAGTATTTGGCAATGAGTGATAAAGTAAATTGCTTAAAAGATAATTCATGCTTGTAACAATAAAAAAGGAATTGTCTTGTCTTGACAGAATATTCCATATCCGAACAGGTTTGGAGTGATAAAAGGAAAACACTAAAAGCACCTATTTTTGAAGGCTATTTGTAGAATCCATAAATCAAAGTTAATATAAAATAATCTTGAGATCTCTTATTTACAGCTCATGTTCTCTGGATCATAAACAAGTGACCATGTGGTTGAAGATGTAGGAAAAATGAGCCCTCCTATGCTAAAAGGAGGCTTATAAATTTGTTCTGGTTGAATGGAGGGTCATTTGACAACATGTATCAAAATGTTAAAAGCGCCTATCTTTTGATCTGGCAATATTAACTCTAGGAAAACTATCCTACAGACGTTATTAAGCAAATGGGCAAAAATATACACAAGGATAAAAAATATATATATACACACACAACAAAGCTCACTACAACACTTTAAGCTGCCAAAAAAATTAGACACAACCTAAGCCCACCAATAAGAGAATGGGGAAATCCACAGTCTAAAATAGGATACAAAAAGACTAGACATACTGTCATGGGAGGATGTTCACAATGTATAATTAACTAAAAATAAAGAATATGTATACTACGATATTTTTAAGAAATTACGTGCATATATTTTTATAAATGTATACATGTTTCTACATGCACAAAACCAAGTAAGTTTACAGTGGTTTCTTTTGGGAAGTGGGATTAAGAAGAGAGGCACACTCTCTTTATTTATATTTGTACATTTTAAAACTGTTTATCATGTACACATATTACATTTATAATAAAGAAAAAAAACCACACACACACACACACACACACACACACACACACGGTTTTTGAATTCCAGAAAAATCTGACAGCGTTCTTGGCGCCTAAGGGATAAGATAAAGTTCCTGCTATCACATGGTGCTAGACTGGAGTTATCAAATTATATACAAGCTCTTCAGGAAGTTCCACTTTGAGAAAAAACTATCTTTTTGTAATCTTTAAGAAACTGGTATCAGCTCAACTAATTGAATTTAGAGCTAGCTTTTTAAGTGCAGAAGGTAGACTTACATAGATCTTGGTGAATACAACGGCCTATTAAAAAAGATTTTAGGGGTGCCTGGGTGGCTCAGTTGGTTAAGTGTCCAACTCTTGATCTCAGCTCAGCTCATGATCTAACAGCTCATGAGATCGAGCCCCACATCGGGTTCTACACCAACATTGGACAACGTGGAGCCTGCTTGGGATTTTCTCTCTCTCCCTTTCTGCCTCTACCCAACTCTCTCTCTCTCTCAAAATAAATAAATAAACAAACAAACAATCTAAAAAATATTTTAAAAGAAGAAATAAGAACAACATGAAATAGGGGTGCCTGGGTGGCTCAGTTGGTTAAGGGTCTGACTCTTGATTTCGGCTCAGGTCATGATCTCACTGTTTTGTGGGTTCAAGCCCCACATCGGGCTCTGCGCAGAGCCTGCTTGGGATTCTCAACCTCTCTCTTTCTCTCTGCCCTTCCCCTGCTAGTGATCTCTCTACTCTCTCAAAATAAATAAGTAAATTTTAAAAAATTAAAAAAAAAAAACATGAAATAAAGTTGGATGCTTGCTTTAATAATATGCATTAAATTGGACAATGTTAAGTGACTACAGATAAAACTCATCTGCCCTTGCTCATTCTATCATTTCAGAGATGCCAGAGGAAAAAGAGACGCTAGTCCAGAATAACTTCCCTTGTAATTATCTGGATGTATAATTATTATTGTATCATTATGGATAATCATTGCCCATGGTCTTGCTTTTAAGATGAGATTCATTCACTGCTTCCCCTGGCCTTTCCACTATATTGGAATTTATATCAAAACTGCACTCTGTACTTAAAAGGCACTAAAAATATAATAGCAAGGCCTATAGTACTTGACCACCTGAGACGTAAATCTCCTCTATCAATCAAAGCTAACAAAAGCCTGCAAGCAAAACGTTAGGTTTATCTCAATAAGACATAGAACATTTTGCTTCTCTTGAGAAGTATTTGAACATATTCCCAACAGTCAAATGCATATAGGGCAGGGAAAGCTACTATATAATGGATTGAATATGGACTGATTTAACTCCCAAGGCCCATCAACCTTTTTTTATGACATTGTAATATATTATTTGTGATACATTATAGGACACCAAAATTTTTACAGAAGAAAATGTAAAAGCTATAGCCAGTGGTCAGAGTGCAAAAGAGCTTTACATAAGGAGGCCAGAGAAAATCTGCTTACTTTGCTACTTCATCCAGACTTCAAGAGGTAGCTATTTAGTACATGACTGTATCGGTATTTTTAAACAAGGTTTTTAGAAAAAGACAAGAAAACAAAACCAAAAACAGGGCAAGGGGGAGGAATGCGGGAGTAAGATGTTCCCATTCCAAAATACCTAAACGTTCTGGTCACCTGGAGAACTGCATGAGGAACAAAAGAATGAAGACTTACACTGAAGAAAGACTGAAAGCACAATCTTAGTTTCAGATTAAAAAGATACTAGCTAATCAGGGCTTTATCATATTTGCATAGCAAGGGTTTGGCCAACGTTCCTTTGTAAGGAAGTACTTTTCATTTCCTGAAGTTTCATTAAGTTCAACACAGATACAACAGCTAGAGGAGACACAAAGATAAAATTATCACAGAAGGAAGGGAGTGCACTGACAGCTGTGCTTCCCCTCTGGACACGGCAGCAAATGGCATGGCTCTTTGCCAGATAAGGGTTGGTTGCAGATTTATGCCTGGCGTATATTTTTATTGAGGTAACTTCAAGTTCTTAAAATTTAAGGCTTTATAATATCTTTGACAAATGCTAATCAGCTTGAATTTCTCTCCTTTCAAACGCCTCTCCTCCTCAGGTTACAAAAGAGAGTATGTTTGTAAAGGTACAACATCCACTCAGCCAATAAACGTTTCTTAAGCCTCCGTAAACCAGGCCCACCATGTCAATATGGGAAACCTACGTACTCCAATTTTATTCACAGTGTGAATGCCTTCAAAATCTTTAGCATTTAGGAGAGACTGCTATCAGCCCAGGAGCAAAAGGTGACAAGAATTAGAGAGGTAGGTTAAAAAGGACATGACTCATATGTAAGATCTCAAAGCACCTTGTGGCTTTTTCACAAGGGACAAGCAACCCTACAAAATTCCATTACTTCACAGCATAATAAATGATGCTTGTAATGACTTGAATCATAAAGAAAAGGGAATTATTTTCAAATTTGTTCTACTTAAGATGGTTAAAAAAGTATGAAATATCTTTTACAGCAAAGTTTACACTGCAAGGAAAAACTGACCAAATATTTGGAAATTAGCTAAACGGACTTCTATTATACAGAATGATTCATTCTCTAAGAGTTCTCAATTCAATTTTATTTTCCTTTGAATACATTATATTATATAAGTACATGTGTCCAATTACATAGAACAGCAGTAAATATCTGACTCATATCAAGTTCATTTTCATATATTTCATTTGCTGCTGGTCTCTCTAACCGAGATATTGTTAATAACTACCTCTCTAATCTGGAACCCTACCTCAGTAAATTCACAGGGTCACGGAGGGAAATGTCACTATATAAGGATAATTACTTCACTGCCAAATCTATAAAAGGTGACTATTTTAAACTTAAAATAACCATTTGAAGGGTATAAACATTTTTGAGTTCTACAAAAGCAAGAGAGAGGCAATCACTTTCCACTGGTCCTTTATGACAGGAAATTGAATACTTCTATATTATAATATTAATTCCAGCCCTCATATGCAACTTATTCTTCACATATGCTAAACATTCTTACCTATTATTTTTAATGGTATTCAAATGAATACATGAGAGCAGCATTACTGAAATCTTTTTTTTTTAAATTTTTTTTAATCTTTATTTTTGAGAGAGAGAGAGAGAGAGACACAGAGTGAGAGTGGCGGAGGGGCAGTGACAGAGGGAAACACAGAATCTGAAACAGGCTCCAGGCTCTGAGCTGTCAGCACAAAGCCCGACACAGGGCTGGAACTCACGAACTGAGAGATCATGGCCTTAGCGGAAGTCAGACACTTAGCCGACTGAGCCACCCAGGTGCCCATACTGAAATCTTTTATTATGCCATATCCACTTTTATCTTTTTAATATATTTTTTAATGTTTATTTTTGAGAGAGAAAGAGAGAAACAGAGGCGTGACTGGGGAAGGGGCAGAGACAGAGACACAGAATCCGAAGCAGGCTCCAGGCTCTGAGCTGTCAGCACAGAGCCCGACATGGGGCTCGAACCCACGAACTGTGAGATCATGACCTGAGCCAAAGTTGGACACTTAACCAACTGAGCCACCCAGATGCTCCATGCTATACCCATTTTAAAAAATTTCCCCTTGTGCTTGCTTCGGCAGCACATATACTAAAATTAAAAAATTTCCCCTTAATTAGAAACTAGGGATGGAATAGTTTAAATTTTTTTATTCAAAATTTTAGATTATTTATTGAGACAATATGCTGGAAAACATAAATAAAGATCTTCAAAGCAATGCAGATTTTACCACTACCTGAAGTGATCCCATTTCGTGGGTATTTACAATGTTTGCTATCTAGTATCTGGAATCCCCTTCTTGTGGCAAAAGCACCTGCCCTGCTTAGCTGGAAGCATCCTTCCCTACGTGGGAAGTCCTGAG